ACCTAAGAGGTTGTGCAGACCCTGGAAGCTGGCTAGGAGCCTTTGGGCTGGGAATTTCAGAGTCTTGGGTGTCTGGGTTGTGGTCTGAAAGGAGGGACATGAACTCTGGGTGAGGAGTATAGTCAGAGGAGGGCCAGAGCAGGGCCCTTACTCCAAGGCCCCCTGCCTTGGTCTAAGAGCAGTACTGGATAAGGAAACAGGTTAAGTAAGCACCCTAAGTGTACACAGGTAGAAAGTGGAACCAGAATTGCTCAGGTCTGTCTAGGCTCACAGAGGTGAAAGGGTACCTCAACCAGTCAGGGCAAATCAGCTGATACAAGAGTACTGATTAATGAATGATTGGGGGTAGAGAGTCAGGGGCTGTCAGGGAGATCTTTCTAGGAGGAGTATTGTTTAAAATCTCGAAGGGGGCCTCCCTGGTGGCACACTGGTTAAGAATCCACCTGCCAATGCAGGGGACGCAGGTTCGAGCCCTGGCCCGGGAAGATCCCACATGCTGTGGAGCAACTAAGCCCATGCGCCACAACTACTGAGCCTGCACTCTAGAGACCGTGAGCCACAACTACCGAGCCCGTGTGCCACAACTACTGAAGCCCACGTGCCTAGAACCTGTGCTCTGCAACAAGAGAAGCCACTGCAATGAGAAGCCCGCGCACCTCAACGAAGAGTAGCCCCCGATCGCCACAACTAGAGAAAGCCTCGCGCAGCAATGAAGAACCAAAGCAGCCAAAAATAAACAAATTAAATAAATAAATTTATTTTTAAATAAATAAAATAAAATCTCACAGGGGTGGGGCTGGGACACAGCTAGAGGTGTAGGAGAGCATGGCCTACAGCCCTTGTCCTTAAGCCCCAGAGGCTGAAGGGTTGGCAATCAGTTTGGCAGGGTTAGAGTTGTGCTTGCGGGGTAGGGAAGAAAAATGAAGCTGCTGATTTTAGACTGTGGCTGAATCCTGAAGAGTTAAGCGTTCTTTATCTTAAAGGGACAGGAAAGGAGCACAATCACATTTAGGTATAAGGGCTGAGGGAGGACTAGAAAGCAAAGATGACTCAACGCTTTCTTCCGTGAAGCCTAGGGAGGGAAGGAGTTGTTTACAGAGCTAGGTAGTCCAGAAGGAGGCGCAGGAAACTGGGTTTTTACTGTTTGAATTACAGGTTAATAATGAGAATACTGGTGGAAGGAGAGAGAAAACAAGTATGACAGAGTCTTGGAAAGTAGCTACATTTAAGGAGTGTGCGGAAGAGAGAACTAGTCCAAAAGACAACAAAACAAAAACAACAGCTGAGCAGCAGAAGTTTCTGAGGCAGGGAGCCTGATCTGCACAGCGTCATCAGTGCCTGGTGGGCTCAAGTTTGAGAAGGAACGTTCAGTTGCTAGGGGGCCAGGACACACACAGAGGGGAGATGCCTGGATTCAGCCATCAGGAGTTGGGGTGAGAGGGGTGGAAACCAGTTTAAGGAATTGGGGATATATATAATGTGGAAATAAAGGAAGTTACTTTGAATAGTTTTTTACAAGTTAAGCTTGGCTTCAAGGAAAGGAGAGAGATTAGAGATTTGTTTGATGGGAAAGTAAGGTTCAGGGAAGAAAATGGACAAGTCCCCCTCCTCTTCTTTGGTGTCATTATTATTAGCAAGGGTATTTGTAATATCTTTGGCTGAAAGGTTGCAGTGAAACAGGAGAGACTGGAGAGAGGAGTACTTTGATAGGACCTACCCACACCTTGCCTCTGCTCCTCCAGTAGCAGGGGTGAGAGCCGATGCCACCACTCTCCGCCTTCAGGCCATTGACCTCAGGAAGCTTATCCCGGTTCACAGCAATCGCCATGCGAAGCCCTGCTTCCGGTCACCTCTTACCAGGTGACTCTCGTCTACTTAGCTTCAGTGGCTCTTTTATCAGTAAGACCTCCTCCCTCCCCCAGCCTTTTCCTCTCTCTCCCCCTTCCCTCCATTATTTCTCTTTGTGGCACTTATCACTGTCTGACATACATTCACTTATTTTATCATGACTTTCCTGTCCCTAATAAAAAGTAGGCTCCAGACCTCAGAGCAGTGTCTGGCACATAGTAGAGGCTCAATTCCTATTTGTTGAATGATGCACACAAAAGGGTGAGGAGGAGAATTGATGGGGCAGGATTCCAAAGCAGAGGTTGGCAAACTTTTCTGTAAAGGGCCAGATAGTAAATATTTTAAATTTTGCTGGCCACAAACAGTCTCTGCCACATATTCCTCTTTGTTGTTTTTTAAAATAATCTTTCAAAAATGTAGAATCCATTCTTAGCTCACTGGCCAAACATAGACAAGCCACAGATCTGACCATAGCTTCTGTGAGAGAAAGTGAGGGAAACAGGATTAAGAACACAGGTGAAGATGGTAGCTCTGAAAAAGAAAAAGGAAGAAGCATCTTCCTCCAAAGACCTCCCTAAAGGGAAGTGAGAAAACAGATGAAATGTGTGAAGAACGTTTGAGGTAAAGAACAGACAAGTGAGAATTTATGTCAGTGGCATCAGCCTCCCAGAGAGGAGGGAAGTGAGTTCTGCAGTTGAGTGTGCAGCACTTGAAGAGCAGGAAGGTTCTGAAAGAACAGGGTGGCTCATCAAACAGAGATAAACAGGGAAAATGATAAACAGCACAGAATTCAGACACAGTTGGACATCATGATCTGTGGTGTGTTCTAGAAGACTAGGGAAAAATGGGGAAAGGTAGATCCTGAGAATTACAGCTTGTGAAATTTAAGAGTGATGCAGCACAAAATTCTAAAGGTGGTTGACCTGGCATACTAGTTCAGAATAATGTTGGATTTTCCTCATACTTTTTTTGATAAAATTACTTCTAGAATCATCAAAGAAATATGAACTAATTTGTGAATAATAATATCAATAATTAACTTTTATTGAGTCTAAACTATTTATTTATTAATGGCTGAGCTACAGTCATTATCTCATTTAATCATTTATGTAGTTCTAGCATTGTCTCTGATTTACGAGATGAGGAAACTGAAGCTTAGGGGATTAAGGAACTTACCTAAAGGCACACAAAGTTCTTAAACAACAGAGCTAGATGAACCCAACCAAGTCTGTCTGATATCTGGTCTGTGTTCTTAACTTACCACAATAGGGTGCTGATCAATGAATTACTATCAGTATGGAAGGAGGTCTCTAGCGACAAGTCCTGTCCTCACTCTGTCTTTTTTTTTTTTTTTTCTGCGGTTCACGGGCCTCTCACTGTTGTGGCCTCTCCCGTTGGGGAGCACAGGCTCCGGACGTGCAGCCTCAGCAGCCATGGCTCACAGGGCCCAGCCGCTCTGCAGCGTGTGGGATCCTCCCAGACCGGGGCACGAACCCGTGTCCCCTGCATCGGCAGGCGGGCTCTTAACCACTGCGCCACCAGGGAAACCCCGTCACTCTGTCTTGTTCAACATTTTTATAGTGCTCTGGATGAGGACATAGATAGTGCATTTATCAAACTTTCCAGCAATGTGGACCCAGGAAGAAGAGGGAATACATTAGATAACAGGATGAGAATCCAGGATTATCTCAAATTGGAACGGTTCACCAAAGAGGAAATGTAATAGAGATAAGAATACAGTTCTTTACTTAGGTCAGAAACAACTGCACAAGTGCACTGTGCTTTAGCTGTGGGGTGTGTAGGGAGGAAAAATGCTTAAAAGCTTTCATCACCTCACTTTAAGGACTGTCGTAAACTACAGCTTGTCCAGAGAATAGAATAGAGAAGGTATTCAGTCTGAGGAACTGTTAAAGAAACTCATAAAGTCTCAGAGCCAAAAAAAAAAAAAAAACCAAAAAACAAAACAAAACAAAAAACCCAACCTGGTGGTGATGGGGGCGGGGGAGAGAACAGCGTCCTCCAGTATTTCTGAAAGTTTTCACAGAAGATAAATTAGGTGTGTTCCATGTGACCCTTGTGGTCAGAACTAGGAAACATAAGTGGGGATTACAAGGAAAGATAAATTAGGTGTGTTCCATGTGACCCTTGTGGTCAGAACTAGGAAACATAAGTGGGGATTACAAGGAACCAGAGTCTCACTCCGTATGAGAAATAACTCCCCCCAAATTAAACCTGTTCAAGATTGTAATTGGTTGCATTGTGAATGAATGTGCCCCCTATTGCTGGATGTTTTAGACTGAGACTGAACTATCATTTGTTAGAACTTACCCTAGGTGACCTCTGAAGGCTCTGCCAACACTAAGTTTTTGCCTCTGAACATGTCAGATGAATGAAGCGTTTCTGTGCTATTTTTCAAAAAAGTAAACTCATCTTTCTTTTGTGTTTGCAACCTGATTTAGTACTGTGTTAGATCTATGGTGGTGTTTATATTACAGAGCTTCCATTTTGAACCTAAGCTGTACGAGTTCTAATTTTTCACTTAGACTGTGACAAGATGTTTAGCATACCAAGTTAGGCTTCAAGTATGTTCTTCTAAATGGATGTGCACTTTACTTGTGTATAATTCTTGCCAAAGATTACACTGAATTTGTACCATATTCCTGCCAATATTTTTTCTAAACCACATCCTGTGATGTAATTTGTGGTAAGTTTATAAGGGAATGCATCTATATAAGAGGTGCCTTGAAATGCTCACTTATTTTTTAACAGATTGGACTCCAGTATATAGGATGAAGTTGCTTCAAGAAGGACTTAATCTATTGACTTCCTGAGACCGTTATAGTTAGTTCTTAAACTTAGTTCTGTGATCTGCCTTGTTCTGTTTTTTGTAACACATATTCACAGTCTCAATTTTCAACTTTATCAATAGAAAGTTAACTGGATATATATTGAAAACCTCTAGATTGCTTTTCTAAAGGTATTAAAAAGCCTATCGTTTTGTTGGTGACCCATCACTAAGTCTTTCTGACATGCATGAACAAAGTTGAAGCAAAAATAGGAAACCTCACTATTTTTGGCTTTAATCCTCTAAAGTTTACCTAATAATTCAGTGGGTATACTAATTGAAAAGAAATACTTTTTTATTTTTTTAGGTGTAATCCCTTTTCATGGATTTTCAATGTATGGTAAGTTGGGCTTTAAAATATTCACTGTTTTTATTACACTTTGGAAAATTAAACATGAAAATCACACTTTATATTACATCAACCACACACTTAACAATGTTATTGTGAACATTTTTAAACATTGGATTTGATATCTGTTTATATGTCCAATTAAAAGTTTTTTCAAATAAAGGGTCATCATAATTGCTCAGATGGCGATTGCTTGTCAAATTAGAATTGAACATACCAGGAAAATGGTTCTGTGGTTTTCCATTTTCTAATTCAATGGAACTTAGAGCCACACATTGATATTTAGTTCTAATAGATGTAAAATGAGATTGCTTAAATTCCTAAACTAATCCTCATAAGTCTTTAAAAAAAAATAATAGGTCAGAAAGAACGCAAAGGGAGGGACAACACTGAGTGTGAGTTCGTAATTTCTCCAGACTGGCTGGTGTGCACAGCAACAATTACATTGAAGCATCCAGTCATCCTGAGGCACACGTGACAAACGCATGTGCAGGTTTGAGAGCCCTGAGCACCTTTGTGTCCTCACGTATCATTGAATGAGGAATGCAGGAAGCGTAACAAAGATTAGCAAGAGGAAGAATGCTCTATGCCTTAAGTGCCACTTAATTTTTAAATTTTCATGCATTACATATTAGCTTGTTGAAGATTGTTGTCCCAACTATTCCTACTCCCCAACCTTTAGACTAAACAGAAATATACAGTAATGTTTACTTTTGTAAAAAGAATCAGCGATAAATTAACACTTTTCTTTGTAAAAAACCCCTCAAGTGTTCCGCATCAGACAGTCATCGTGAATGACATAATATAAAACCTTTAAAACCAGCATACAATGAAAAGGATTTAAAGTGCCTAGGAATTCTGCATTATGCTGCCCTTGGCTTTATTCTCTTGAGCAACAAAAATTTCATAATGTAACACATAATATTATAGTGAGGTTCCAGCATATTTCTCTTTTATAAATATGTGAGGAATTTAAAATAGAAAACCTAAAAAGGTTAAGAATATAAATTTTTACCTTTAATAATAAAAAATGTTAGCCCTTTTATTCTTTTATTTTGATAATTCCAACTGCAAGCATTTTTCAAGTAATTAGTTTTTAAAAGATGTACTTGAGCGATTTGGAGAACAGTTAATAACGTCAGGAAAGTTTAAATCTTCTAACAACTCTCAGGGTACAAAATACATCTTTGACTCCTGCCTATTCACATTTCTGGTTGTTTTAATAGGTTAAAGTTTATACACCCAAGGGGGAAAAGTTCGCTAAGGAAATAGGTGATGCAAAATGTTTAATATACAGTTTATACTATTTTAGAAAAATATGTTAAGCATCCACAAATACTTTAGAGCAGCGACCACTTATTTAGAACCAGTATACTAGCATAATTGCAACTTATCCCCAGGATCTCTACATAGTACTAGGCCATTTTAGTTTTAGTTACTGTATTTCTTTAAAATTATAATACTTTCCTCTTTTAAAAATTTATTCAAAACTTTTCTCTAATTTAAACTGGCCTTATAACCTTTCCCACATATGTAGATTAATGAAGTTTTTATTGTAGGTATAGTATATTATGATTTCATAAATAAATTCCTATAGTGCAGTATTTAATTGGTTAAAAAGATGATGAGCTCATTCATTTTTATGGAAGAACCAAATAGGGAAAGATGCTTAAAATGGAAAATAAAGTCATGTAGAAGATTTTTTACATATTATATGTAATGGACTAAAACTTTTCCATTTCATAGCTATATAAGGGAATTCAACATCACCAATTGTGGCATCTTGAATAATAACTGATTATAACGTTTTCTATATTATATATGTTTATAGAAAAGTGCTGATTTTAAAATTCTCTTTCATTCCTTCACTGGAAATGATCATTAATGATTACTGAATCTTTAAAACCTTTAGATTCAAATTACAAGTTTTTAAATAGCAATAACTTAAGAAGTTGGAGGGGAAAATATACATCATCACAAAAAGTAAATGAATTCCAAACCTTCATTTTGAATTTGTAATAATACCATGTATTTGTGCCACATTGCTTTTTCTTAGGTTGTTGCAATTAGAATGAGAGTTATTCTTTTTAAATGTATAGAATACCTCAGTTGGGGCTATTTAAATAAGTAGGAATTTATTTTGATAGTAAAATAATTTTTTAAAATTAGTTTTGAAGTGAAAGGACATGGCTGTTAGTTTTTAAACATATATATATATATATATATATATAAAACATAAAGGTCTTTTCCTATAGATATATATAAAAGGAGGGGTTTTTTTGGATGTATTTAGATATTTACCACCCTAAAATTGATTTGTCTCTCTTTTGCCCTTCAGAAAAGTGAAATTTCTCAGTTGCAATGCTAGTTTTTGATAATTTATTCATCAGTAATACTGTGCACCGCCATTTATCCCAGATAATCGAATTTTTGTTTTGTCAGAATTTAAAATTTTTTATCATTTTTTCCTTTCACGTTGTCAAAAGGAAGTGAGCTGAGTTGGCTCACTGGTTTCCCTGCTTACTTAATGCCTACTGCCCTCAGGGCATCACGGACATTATAGAGCCCAAGACCTTCTTACCTGTCTGATCTATATCATAGATGAAATTACCCAATAAGTAAGTCACTGTTATTAAATTAATATTTAGGTAATGCAGTTTTATATATCTGCATTATAGTGTATTTATGCTGCCTAAAATTCTTGAGTGTTGAAAAGATGAAAAGCATGACCACGTTCGCAAGTGCAGAATAATCAGACTGTCAGGTCAGCATCTGATTTTAAAATCTGACTTTCTGACAGTCAGCCATGAGCTGTCTGGTTGAGTTGACCCACCTGTGCTTAACTGCCATGAACTGGGTACAAAAGAAAACTTAATTCAAATTCATTAGAGAAATAAATTCTTAGAGTTGTTTTATTTTAAGCCTATGAAAACTGTCTAGATACATATTGAGATATGCCAATATAGACCAATAGCCTAAACTGTTAATCAAAATTTTAATTTTCAAATTCAGTTAGTTGCAGACCATCGTTCTAAAAGCTAGTCGTAAATCATCTTATATTTTACTTACCTGACTTCAAAAATTAAAAATTTCAAAAGATCCTTTGTGGGACAAAGTAAAAATGAATTGCCTGATTGTCACTTTCTTATTATTTCAATTGAAAAAAAGAGACTTGACTTTATGTAGTTTTTAAAAGTTACTTTGAATTTTCAATATCCCTATATAGTTCCATTGTGTCATTCTTATTCTACTGTTGAGATTATAATATTTTATAATTTACTCCCTTCTTTTTAATTTTTAATGACTCAGTTTTTTATGTGTGCGTATATTCCCTTTTCAACATGAAAAAAGAATATATATGTGATTCTAAACTTGTCTATGAATGAATATTATTACTAGAAAATATTTATTCTTTCATGTTTTGTGAACTTATTTTTTTAATTTTAGTAGTTCTGCAATATTATTAATTAACTTTTTTGTTCTTTCAGTTGCACCACTTTGTTTTCTGTACCATGAACCTTCCAAATTGTATCAGATATTCCGTGAGATGTATGTGCGTTTTTTCTTCAGACTTCATTCTATCTCTTCTCATCCTTCTGTAAGTTCATAAAAAAAAGAAAAAATGGATCAAAGCAGACTCTAATCTGTTTTTCCTTTCCTTAAGAAAAACAAATGTTAATTTGTGAGGTCAAGCAACACTTTTCTATAGAATAAATGAAAGAGAAGAAGAAATTGATATTTAAATAGTTTTAGTAATAATTAGAGAGGAAAAAGCCTTTTATCAATTGCATTTAAATTATCTTTTATATGTTGAAAGAAAAAACATAGCAATGTCTGTATTGTTTTCTTTGACAAAGGTGGCTAACTTCTTTGAATGCTGGTTTCCTCCTCTCTGAAACTCATTTCAGAGTTAATAATGAGTTTCTGTGGTGCTGTAGAGCAGTGTACAAAGCACCTGGGTAGCACTTGGCTCGTGGCAGATGTTCAGTAAATAGATGGCTGCTGTTTTTATTGTTGTCGTTACGATTATCATCATCATCATCATCATCTTTTCTTTGTTAATGAAAAATAAACATTTATTTGTCCCTTATTTTTCAATTTGGCTAATTATCAGTTATCAAACTAGATATCTCCTTTGTGTTTATTCAATAGATGGCTCCTTGGCCTTAACATGAAACTCAAAGAGAAGCATACTGGGAGTTGAGTATTTGTATCTGTTTTATTTTGTCCAGTCCTTTATCATATCTTCCTTCCCTCACCCCCACCCTCCTTAGCCTGAGTAAAAGCAGTGTTTATTTTATTTCAGTTATACTTTTTCTGTCTTTGAGCCTGCTTTGGTCTGCTTGTGGGTAACTTGACTGACTCTCCAGAAAAAAACATTAAAAATTGGAATGTGTCAGGGCTACCAAGTTTCCCAAAAGAGGAGGCTGTCACCGCTACTCAACTAAATAGCAGTTCATTATCCTCCCCCCGCCATTCCTGTGTATTCCTATTCCACCTTCCTCTGTCTCCACTGTTGCTCTCATACATTGCTAGTGAAAGCAGGCAAGTAACAGAAATCTAGGATGTCACAGATGAACAAATGAAGTACCACCAATTATCTTGGGTTTCTTCTCTCTGAGACAACTTGATTTAATGCCTATATTGCATGAATATTTAATCTAGAATAACCAAAAATATATTAATAATTCTTTTTTCTTATAACTCATCCTTAGCCTCAGATTTCTTACTCACATATTCTGTACCATTTTACGCTTCAGAGTTTCAAAAAAATGTTTTTAACTGGCTGCCCAGTAGATACCCGTGATGTTTTCCCTGTGCAGACCACTGAAGCTTGCCACTGAGCAACTCTGGATGTGCCTTCTCTATATCCGTGCTGACCCTAAGGTGTCCTTTTTCAGCTGATTGATTGGGACAGCCCTGCCTCTGCCCTTTCTTTATTCAGTGAAATAAAGACTTAACAGGCAGTCATCTCCTTTTCTGGCTTGCAGCCAGACTTAACTATTTGGAACCATGACAGCCTTATTTCTTTAGAAATTCAAAAAGAGGATTAAAACTTCCTTACAAAGATCAACGCTGAGGAATGCTGAGCTGCAAGAAAGACTTTATTCAGAGTTGTCAAGTAATAAATGCACTTGAAAAACCATCTACTTTGTGCTCTACAGATAATGCCCTTTTAAAAAAGTGGATTTCAGTTTTTAAAAAAGTTATCCTTATACTAAGTAATCAAACATTCTTGTTTGATAACTTCCTGATGCAAATTTCAAACAGTTAGTCTTTCTCTGGGGATGGATTTCAATGAAAGAGTTAAAAAAGCAGGAAATATTCTCCCTGATGGGTGAGACAGCTGGAAGGGAAGGGACATATGGAGGAGAAAGTGAAGGGTGTGGCTGTAGCACCAGAGAAATACCTGGAAACTGGAATGCATCCAGAAAAAACTAATTTTGCTGGGCCTACGTGATACTATATGACTTACAGAGAAGCAGGTTTTTCTATAAAATGACGTTTTCCTTGAATTCCTAACATTACTACATGCCAGGTTACGTGGGGAGCCTATCGTTGTTAAAAAGGAAAAAATATTTATATTGATAATCTTTTTCTCATTTCCATTTGAATAATTTAATGGCAGAGTTCATTTTTAAATACTAAATTATGCATTTCTCTTGTGATTTATTATTGTATCCAGGGTATCGTGTCACTCTGTCTGCTGTTTGAAACTCTTCTTCAAACTTATCTCCCCCAACTCTTTTATCATCTACGAGAAATTGGGGCTCAACCGTGAGTATTTTTCTCTCCTAATTGAAGAATAAATTGATATCAGAAGGCTCTTTTTCATCATCAAAGATACAGTAATTTTTCAGAGACATTAGACTAACAGTCTCCCCAATAAAACAATAATTATCAAGTAGTAAATTATAACTCGACATTGTGACAGAAATTCTTGAGAGACTTACCAAAATCCTAATAAATTCTTATTTGCTTGGATTTTTGTGCTTGGTACAAGAATCACTAAAAGAACTAATTTCTATTCATAATGAAAGGTATTGGCCAAACTGAGGCAAAAATTTGTGGAAACAAATACTACCTGAGAAATGTGATAATACTAAAATTAAGTCAGTTTAGGCCAAATTTATCAGAAAACAACTTATGAAAGACAGAAAAGTTAAAGTTTGCTGGCTTTCATTAAAGGAATCTAGATCGATTATTTACCAATGGTTGTACACTGTGATTTTTTTTCTTCAAAAGCTTGAATTTTTGTTCATTTATCTCAGTATGAGTTATCAATGAATATGTAGGGTACCTGTGGACCTCATTATTATTGGTTCTCTTTTCTCTTTTTTAATTAACAGTGTCTTAAGGCAACAGAAATTTCCAAATGATTTATCAGTGTTTTGTTACTGTCTTCGTTTCTGTGTAACCATTTTCTCCTATATAAGGGCATATTTGAAAGGAACACTAACTCTTTGAGACCACAGAAGTAGTTAATGGGAAATAGAATCCATAGCCGATGGATGAGTGGGTGGATGGGTTTAAGAGACAGACCCAGATTCAAATTCTATCTCTACTAAACTATAAAATCCTGATAAAATTATTTAATTTACCTAAGCCTCAATTTCTTTCTTTAAGTCAAGATAATTTAATTTATTCATCTTTAAAATCAAGGGAATTCCTACCTCATAGAGTTGTTTAAAGATTGAATATGTATATGTTTATATATTGATATATATGTATATATACATATATATCTCCATATATATATATACATATATACATCTATATCTCCATTCTAAAATCACCATCGAATTTCAGACATTTTAGATCTTAGAAATGCCATTTATAAAACAACACCTCATATCATCCGTTGATAACACCTAGGTGACACTCTTTCTTTTGTAGACATTAAAAAACAGGATTTTATTAATAATTAATATTATAAAACAAGAATATGGCAGAAATATTTTATATTACATACAAGTCATTTTTCCTTGTGGTAAACTGACCTTTATTTTACTACTGTGAAATGAATATTTGAATATAACTATGCTTTTCCTTACTAGAGTGAAGACATTTAGTTTATTGCTAGAAGCTAAAATCCTGGCTTTTTTCTAGTCTATTTATACACTTTAATCATTAAAAGGAACAAATTTATTTCAGTGAATTATGATAAACATTAAAATTCTGATGCAAGAGAAAATATAAAAATTTAATTATCAGGCTAGAAATCAATTATTAAAAGGCTTTCATGAATTAAAACTAATGCTATTGGAAGGTTTTTAATTTAGAATTTAATTTTTTTACTAGATATAGGACTCTTCAGGATATCTCCTTCTTGAGTACTTAGTGCATTTTATCTGTTATCATATTTATGGACATAAATTATTCATAATATTCCATAATAATTCTTAATTAGCCTTTCAATATCTATAGAATCAGAGTGACATTACCGCTCTCATTCCTGAGATTGATATTTGTATCTTGTTTCTCTTTCTTGATTATTCTGGCCAGAGGTTTATTAATTTTATTCTTCTTTGAAAGAATCAGTTTTTGGTTTCATTGATTTTGTTTTTCTATTTTTGGTTTCATTGAGTTATGCTCTTTTTTTTTTTTTTTTTTTTTTTATTGCTGTACGCGGGCCTCTCACTGTTGTGGCCTCTCCCGTTGCGGAGCACAGGCTCTGGATGTGCAGGCTCAGCGGCCATGGCTCACGGGCCCAGCCGCTCCACAGCATGTGGGATCTTCCTGGACCGGGGCACAAACCCATGTCCCCTGCATCGGCAGGCGGACTCTCAACCACTGCGCCACCAGGGAAGCCCTATGCTCTTTTATTTGTTATTTCCTTCTGTATACTTGCTTTAGTTTTGTTTTGGTCTTGTCTTTCTACTTGTTTAAGGTGAAATTTAGATAATTAATTTGAGACATTTCTTCTTTTCTAATGGAAGCAATAATGTTATAAATTGCCCTCAAAGCACTGCTTTACCTCCACTCAACAAATTTTGATGTGTTATGTTTTCACTTTCATTCAATTCAAAATGTTTCTTAATTTCTCTTGTGACTTCCTCTTTGACCATAGTTTATATAAAACTGCATTGTTTAATTTCTAAATATTTGGAAAGATATTATGTCTTTCTGTTATTATTTCTATTGTAATTCTGTTACAGTTAGACAATGTGCTTCATAAGATTTTAGTTCTTTTAAATGTGTTGCAGTTTGTTTTATGACCCAGAATATGATCTATCTTGATGAATCTTCCATGTACACTTGAAAAGAATTTGTATGCTGCTAGTGTTGAGCAGAATGTTCCGTAAGTGGTAATCAAGTCAAGTTTGTTGATAATGTTCAAGACTTATATACACTTGTTAATTTTCTTCTACTTTTTCTATTGATTATTGAGAAAGAAGTGTTAGAGCCTCCAATTATAATTGTGAATTTGTCTTTTTATTTCTGCATTGCTATGTATATTTTTACTTCATGTATTTGACTCTGTTTTTAGGAGAATTGATCTTTTTATCATTAGGTAATGTCTTTTCCTAGCAATAAATCTACTATGTCTGATATAGCCATTCCAGCTTTCTTTTTATTACAATTTGTATAGTGTATTCTTTTCTGTCTTTTTACTTTTAACGTATTGATTATCAGTGTCTTTACTTTTCAGGTGGCTTTCTTGTCAAAAGTATACTTGGGTCTTTCAGTGTGGCAGTTTGTCTTTTAATTGGTGTGTTTATTCCATTTACATTTAATGTAATTGATATTATTGGATTAAAGTAATATCAATTGATATTATTTACTATCTTGATAGACATTTTTTTGTTTGTCCCATGTGCTCTTTATTCTTTTTGTCCTCTTTTCCTGCCTACTTTTTTTTTTTTTTAATATTTATTTATTTATTTTTGGCCAAATCGGGTCTTAGTTGTGGCACACGGGATCTTTCATTGCAGCATGCAGGCTTCTCTCTAGTTGTGGTGCAAGGATTTAGTTGCCCCACAGCATGTGGGATCTTAGTTCCCCGTCCAGGGATCAAACCCATGTCCCCTGCATTGAAAGGCGGATTCTCAACTACTGGACCACCAAGGAAGTCCCTCCTGCCTACTTTTGTTTGTTTGTTTGTTTGTTTTTAATTTATTTATTATTTATTTATTTATTGTCTTTATTTTTGTCTGCATTGGGTCTTAGTTGCGGCACACAGGATCTTTGTCAAGGCATACAGGATCTTTCGTTGCAGCATGCGGGCTTCTCTCTAGTCATGGCATGCAGGTTTTCTCTTCTCTAGTTGTGGCGCGCAGGCTCCAGGGCAGGTGGGCTCTGTAGTTGTGGCATGCAGGTTCCAGAACGTGTGGGCTCTGTAGTTTGTGGCACGCAGGCCCTAGTTGAGGCGCATGAGCTCAGTAGTTGTAGCACGTGGATTTAGTTGCCCCACAGCATGTGGGATATTAGTTCCTTGACCGGGGATCGAACCTGTGTGCCCTGCATTGTAAGGTGGATTCTTTACCACTGGACCATCAGGGAAGTTTCCCCTCCTGCCTACTTTTGAATTGAATAATTTTTTACTCCATTTTATCTCCAGTATTGGATTATTATTTATACCTTTCTAAAAATATATTTTGATAAGTGTCTGTCTTAGTTCAGTCTGCTATAACAAATTACCATAAACTGTATGGCTTATAAACAACAGAAATTTATTTCTCACAGTTTTGGAGACTGGAAGTCTAAGATCAGGTTGCTAGCATGGTTGAGTTCCAGAGGACCTTCTTCTAAGTTGCAGACTGCTTCTCATTGTATCCTCACATGATGGAGAGCAGAGAAGAAAAAGAAGCTCTCACATGACTCTTACGAAGGCACTAATCCCAAACATGAGGACCTACCTTCATAACTTTATCTAATGCTAATTAACTTCCAAAGGCCACACACCTCTTTCCTAATACCATCACATTGGGGGGTAATTTCAATATATGAATTTGGGGGTGGGAATGGGGACACAAGCATTCAGTCTATAACAGTGCCCTAGGATTTACAATATACATCTTTAATTTATCCCTTCTACTTTCAAATAAACTCCAGGCCTGGAGGGTTTCATGGGCAAATTCTACAAAACATGTCAGGAAGAAATAATATCAATTATTGTTTTTCTGTGGCTGCTGTCAAGATCGTTGTCTTTAGATCTTAGCAGTTTGATTATGATGTATCTGGACATGGATTTCTTGGGTTTATCCTGTTTAGGGTTTGCTTAACATCTTAATTTGAGGCTTATTTCTTTTGCCAAATTTAGGAAGTTTTCAACCATTATTCAAATATTTTTTTCTGCACCACACTCATTATCCTTTTCTTCTGGGACACAAATATTAAAACTTTTAGTCTTATCTCACAGCTTCCTGAAGCTCTGTTCATTTTGTTTTCAATCCTTTTTACTCTGTAGTTCAGATTGGACACTTCTATTGATTTATATTTAAATTCACTGGCTCTCTCAATGGTTATTTCCATTTTGCTATTGGATCCATCCAGTGAGGGCTGTTTTGTTGCTGTTGTTGTTATTGTTTTTGTTGTTTTTGTATTTATCAGTTCTAAAATTTCCATTTGGTTCTTAACAAAACTCAGAATTGTGCATTAGTAAGGGCAAATTCTACTATACATAAATTATACCTCAATAAACTGTATTTCTAAGAAATTGAATCTGTGATGTGTACTAGGGAGCAGAAGGCATGATGTGTGGTGCTGTTGTTCTAATAAGACACTGAGAGATCCAGTAAAATGAAACTAGTTGAAGTTAATAATTTAGGCTTAAAAGTTAGTAAATTATTTAAATTTAAAATAATTGGTGGCTAAAAGTTTCTTTGGCATCTATAAACAGAAATTCTAAAACCAACCAAAAATCTTGATTTATCAATACTACTGCCTACATGTATTTTGTTATATTAGAACAATAGTTATCTAGTATTGAGGAATTTCTGAAACCTGGGGGGTCCTTTTTCAGTCTCAAGAAAGTTAATGTGACACCAACAAAGGCAATCTCTCAATCCCATTTTCTCTTTTAGGAAAAAGTACAGATGTTTATCTGTATAACAGTTTTAACAAAGAATTTGGCTAGAACCTCTCAGGGGCAGTCAAGTGATGTTTAATTGCCAATAGTACAGAAATTGAGAGACTATTTAATCTCTTCAGGCACCAAAGCCAAAGAGTTTGTTTCCTGATTCTAGAGATAAATTGTTATTGTAACGTAACCTATTTATGAAACAGTAGGATCTCATACTTCTTAGGACTTTTTTTTTTTTTTTTTTTTTTTTTGCAAAATAGAATTTAATTGAATTTTCTGGTTGATTTTTCAGAGTTCTGATGACATCCTCTATAAAACTAAGGGTTTCAAATCAGAGATCTATTTCTAAGGTCCCTTATAGCTTTTCTTTTTTTTAAGATTTGATTTTATTTTTTATTTTTAGCAGCGTTGGGTCTTCGTTGCTGTGCGCAGGCTTTCTCTAGTTGCAGTGAGCAGGAGCTACTCTTCATTGTGGTGTGCGGGCTTCTCCTTGCGGTGGCTTCTCTTGTTGCAGAGCACAGGCTCTAGGTGCATGGGCTCAATAGTTGTGGCTCACGGGCTCTAAAGTGCAGGCTCAGTGGTTTGAGGCACCGGCTTAGCTGCTCCATGGCATGTGGGACCTTCCCAGACCAGGGATCGAATCTGTGTCCCTGCATTGGCAGGCGGATTCTTATCCACTGTGCCACCATGGAAGTCCCCCTATAGCTTTAAAACTAGTTTTCTTTGTCTTTTTTCATCCTTTGTAGCCATTTGAGTGAAATGTAGGAATATAATTTATTGAATTGGAAAAATGTGCAGCTATCAAGCTCTTTCAAGTATCTTGAATAAAAATTCAAATGTTCTAGGCTTGCCTGGAACTGTTAAGACTATAAGATCACCTCATTGATAGCTAATTAGTACACACCCTGAAAAACAGAATGTAGAAGTGAGTTTTCTAAAGAATGAACTATAACATAAAGTAGGACTCAGGAATATAATTCTTTCTCTTAATGCTTTTTTTTTTCCCTGTATGCGGGCCTCTCACTGTTGTGGCCTCTCCTGTTGCAGAGCACAGGCTCCAGACGCGCAGGCTCAGCAGCCATGGTTCACGGGCCCAGCCGCTCTGCGGCATGTGGGATCTTCCCGGATCAGGGCACGAACCCGTGTCCCCTGCATCAGCAGGCGGACTCTCAACCACTGCCCCACCAGGGAAGCCCTCTTAATGCTTTTGAGACCACTAATTTGAGGACTCATGGTTTCTCACCATTGTACTTTTTACAGCTTTTAATAGAGTATTTGAGGGTTTTTAAAATTTATTTTATTGAAGTATAGTTGATTTACAATATTGTGTTAATCACAGCAGTGTTTCAGTTATACATATACATACATTCTTTTTCATATTCTTTCCATTATGGTTTATCACAGAATATTGAATATAGTTCCTTGTAGGAACAGTAGGACCTACAGCAGTAGGACCTTGTTGTCTATCCATTCAATACCGTAGTAGTTTGCATCTGCTAATCCCAAACTCCCCATCTATCTCTCCCCCCTCCCCCTTGGCAACCACAAGTCTGTTTTCTATGTCTGTGAGCCTGTTTCATACATAAGTTCATTTGTGTCATATTTTAGATTCCACATATAAGTGATTTCATGTGGTATTTGTCTTTCTCTTTCTGACTTCCTTCACTTGGTATGATAATCACTAGGTCCATCCATGATGCTGCAAATGGCATTACTTCATTCTTTTTTATGGCTGAGTAGTATTCCATTGTATATATGTAGAGTGCTTGAGTTTTAAATGCCCATGTGATTTTTCAGACCCACAAAGGAGTTATCTAATAATGGAACTGGTTGAGTTCTTCTGATACTGCTTTTTGATGAGAAAAAATTCCACTGGTAAAATTTCTTTTTTTTCTTTGCTTACAGACTTCGCATATCGTTTAAATGGATGGTTCGAGCTTTCTCTGGATACTTAGCTACAGATCAACTCTTGCTTTTGTGGGATAGAATCCTAGGGTACAACTCTCTGGAAATTCTTGCTGGTAAGAGTAAGTGCTTGTTTGTAAAACACATGCTCTTTTTATAGTAAAGCCCCTTTGCTTTCTGATATTCACCATCTGTAATTGGAATTTGAGTCTACAGTTGTCTTTCATTTCTAATTCATGAACATTTAGTAGATTTATCTGCCTTAGAAGACAAGCACTGAGATTCTGCAATCTAAATAGGTCTGCATAACTGCCCATCACGTCTATTCCTAGTCCTTTTTCGTCACTTCTAGGAATGTCCAGCTCCCCTCCCCTGCTTTTAATCCAGCCAGGGCTTACGGTCTCAGCACCTGTGAGGTTTGCACAGCAGAGTGTAGGTATACTTCTGTTTTTTTCCTGACTCCTGTGACTACCTTAGTGTTCTGTTCTGTGCCCTTTCTCAACTACTACCTAAAATCCAAACTGAGACTGAGTCTCCCTGCATAGTTGAAATCTCAGCTCTTCTGGACTAGTTTATACTGAACTCAAAACCTTTTCCTTGTTGCTAACAGTCTCTAACTCCTGCCCTGGTAACTGAGTTTCCCCTTTTACATATTCTCTTAAGCCAAAAAGAAATTCATCTTTTTTTCAGAAAGCCACAAATCTATCTCTTATTTAATAATTAAGTTCTTACAACAGATATACACAGAGGGCAACTGTGTGATAACACATAGGGCACAGATTTCTTATATTATTTTGCTTCTCTGTGTGTAAAATCGACTCAGTTATTTTTATCATTGAAATTATCAGGGAATTCAAATAAGTATTACAGGGTTTTCACATGGAGAGCAGAGAATGCTGGTTCCAACCTTCTCCAGTTTTGTGACATTGAACAAATTATTTAATCTTTACCCAGTGATAGCATTGTAAAGACACCTCTCTGGGCCATTTGGAAATAATGCTTAATTGATGACCCTTTTCTTGCAGAAGATTCTCTAGGTACCATATTAACATATTTTTGAATGCTGAAAATTCGAGTAATTAGATGGCATTTTGAAAAGGAAAATTGAGGTAATAATAAAGTACCATGAAGATAAATGTTGCCCCTGGTATAATGAGAGATATCATTTACTGGGGTTTTTAACAACTCCCAGTATCCTTCTATCTCAGTGGTTTTTAAAGCCCGTACAAATATGAGTTAGGAAAAACTGGTCTGCCATCACCTCTTTTGGCTGAATGTCAGTGATGCATACAATCTAGAGACAAAAGGGGATCCTAGAGGTCATCAGGTATAACTTCTTTTAAATATTTCTAACAGGCAGTCCTTATCCTGTGCCTGAACATTCAGTGTTGGATAATCCCTGTCTTACCAAGTAGCCCATTTCATTTCTGGATAATATAACTTTTTTTTTTTTTTTTGGCCACGTTACATGGTGTGTGGGATCTTAGTTCCCCCACCACGGATCAAACCCCTGCAGAGGAAGCACGGGGTCTTAACCACTAGACCGCCAGGGAAGTCCCTGGATAATATAACTTGTTAGAATGTACTACTGTTAAACCAGGATCATCATCATGTTTTTTTCTACTCTCTCACCCCCTCCTTTCCTCAAAGTCTTCTATTTTCCAGGCTAAGTAGTATTGTTTTTTGCTACCATTTCTCAGGTAACAGGATTTTAGATTTTCTACCAAATAACTCTTCTGGGTAGGGCATAAATTTTGAAGAGTATTGTATGTAGCTTTTTGTATCATTTCAGAAAACATTAGAGCATGTTAAAGAAATGGGCTCAGTATTAGAAAGTACTTTCTAATAATTAGGACTTTCCAAAAGTAGAATGGGCTTTTTAACTGTCATCTGAAGGGTTAAGAGGTTTTCTATCATGAAAGAAATGTTGAATTGGAAGACCTTCAAAGCGTCTTCCAATTTAAAGTCTCCCATTCTGTGACTTATCACCCCTCAGCAAACTGAAGTGAAAGAGAAATAAATGTTGAATGCTGCATTTGCTCTAAGCCACGTACTTTGCTGTAAGCTTAATACAGTAATTAAAAAGTTATTGATGTATAGGTAGAAATGCAGTTCACACTATTGCATCCATTCACTTTCTCTGAGTGTTTTTAAAAAATCAACAGAGGGGCTTCCCTGGTGGCGCAGTGGTTAAGAATCCACCTGCCAGTGCAGGGGACACAGGTTTGATACCTGGTCCAGGAAGATCCCACATGCCGCGGAGCAACTAAGCCCAAGTGCCACAACTACTGAGCCCCTGCGCCTAGAGCCCACATGCTCTGCAACAAGAGAAGCCACTGCAATGAGAAGCCTGCACATCAAAACAACGACCCAACATAGCCAAAAGTAAAAATAAGCAAATAAATAAATTTATTTAAAAAAAAGAAATCAACAGAGAAGAATTGTAGAACATCTAGAAATGGAATTAGACTAATGGGAATTCCTACCATGGAATTCAGATAAAGAGCCATAGGGTAGGTAATTGCATGTAGATGTGTATATATGTTAGTTTTGATTATTTTATACATTTTTGGGGCTGAATATTTTGTGACCACCTTTTTTGCTCAAGTGAGCTTATGTAGTCTTTCGAAATATTTTAGTAAATATTACTGGTTTCAATTGTGAATAATTAGGGCCTTTTGAAGAACAGTTTAAAGCATAGGTGTCTTAATGTTCATGATAGAGTTGCTTAAAATTAAAGTAATGAGAAAAGTTTAAAAGACCAAAAGTAAATATTTGATTTTCTATATTTCATATGAAGCATGACTTCAGTTGAAAATATCCCAGGACTCCCCTGGTGGCGCAGTGGTTAAGACTCCGCCTGCCAATGCAGGGGACACGGGTTCGAGCCCTGGTCTGGGAAGATCCCATGTGCCGTGGAGCAACTAAGCCCATGGGCCACAACTACTGAGCCTGCACTCTAGAGGCCGCAAGCCACAACTACTGAAGCCCGCGTGCCTAGAGCCCATGCTCCGCAACAAGAGAAGCCACCACAATGAGAAGCCTGCGCACTGCAACAAAGAGTAACCCCCGCTCGCTGCAACTAGAGAAAGCCCACACTCAGCAATGCAGACCCAACACAGCCAAAAAAAAAAAAAAAATTTTTTTTTAATTAAAAAAGAAAATATCCCGAAGTATAGACCTGTTTTCCTTGGCAAATAAACCTGCTGTGAGGAAGTACTGGGCAAAGCAATCATGAAGCAGACGGAAAGGAACTTCTGTGATGTGACACCAAGATAAATAAAGGTTGTGAGCACATAAGCATTTTGGATGCTGAAGTCAATTAGTAACTACTCTTTTATTCCCCCTCTTATCTGCCTTTGGAAAAACTATATTTCCCACCATGTAAAACTCTTTCCTGCTACAGCGGAAAATTTGACCATCCTGTCAAGCTTTCACCAACTCCGTTAAATTATACTCAAAAAAGGAAATAGTGACCACAACCCTTAACTCCTAAAATGTCTCCATTTTCAAATATGATTCCAGATATTAGAAAACTATAAAGAAGTTGTTGGTCCACAGAAATGGTTTTCTTTGATATTCTTGTAAAAATGGAAGCTGAGGGACTTTAGGTACTTAAGTTTTCTCCATTTCAATTAAAGGGTAAATTCTTTGCCCCAGGTCTCTTATATCCCTTGTTACATATTAAATAAACCCAGCTGATGACTTTTTAAATTTTGTTTTAACCACTACCATGTATTTTTCTCCCAGAATTTTCCTAACTAGTTCTAATGCTTTTTTTGACAAACTGTCCAAAATCTGTTGTCCCCTCGAAAAATGCCTGTGCTTCCCAGTCACTCGGCCTCTATCTGGGGAAATTAAGAGACCTGTATCCTGACTTCTACTCCACAGGCATGACCCCTATCAGGTGGTCCAGAGCCCAGGACCACCATCCATCATCCTTCAGGCCATCTCTGGAAAACCATTCTTTTTTTTTTTTTTAAATTGAAGTATAGTTATTTACAATGTTGGGTTAATTTCTTCTGTACAACAAAGTGACTCAGTTATACATGTATATATAGTCTTTTTTATATTCTTTTCCATTATGGTTTCTGCCAGGGGAAAACTATTCTGAGAGACAAAAGAGAAGGTGATTCTTAGGAAAGCACACAGATTTCTATATCAGGGATGAGTCATTACTGCTTACCTTCAATCTCAAAAATGTCATCACATAGTGGTTAAATGCTTGAGCTCTAGGGCCAGAGTTGAGTAGTCACTCTACTATTTTCTACCTGTGTGACTCTGAATATGTCATCCAAACTCACAGTGCCTCAGTTTCTACATTAGTAAAATGGGGCTAACAATAGTACTTAACTCATTTTTGGTATTAGAATTAACTGCTATTATCATTATTATTACTTCCATAGTAAAAATACATTTAAAAAAAAATTTGCATTATCTATGCAATATACTTAGGAACGAGTCTTGCAAATAATTTTAAAGATTCCTTACCATTCATTTTCTAAACTTTAAGGACTTGTTGGGTAGGGAATGTACTACCACTACTGGTGATGAAAAAAATGGGGAGAAGTCAAGAGTCACCTCCAGGTAGTACCGTTTCCTTATCAGAGTTGCCTGAACCTATTACATGGTCCTTCCATTGTTCATGATGACTCATTCACTTTCACAAAGTTTTATGGTAGATTATATAATAAGACATAACTCATGTCAGCATTACTCTCTTTTCATATGCAGATGATTAATGGGAACAAAAATCCAAATGTTTTCTAGTCAGTATATATTATTGACCTTCAGGATGTTCTATAATGGTTTGGTTTATTTTCTTTTCAAAGTTTCAACTTCTTTTTCTGTGGCCAACATTAATGTAAATGTCAGGATCAATCCCACAGTAGCCCGCCCCACAGACGTATCCATTTATGACCCTCTAAGAAAGTCAATGCTGAGCGTAAAAATATAAATATAACAAAATAGTATAAAAATATTTTTAAGGAAAGAATTTATTGTCACATTTTTATCAGGATACCTCCTTGATACATATGAAACATCATCTGATATATTTAAAAATTCAGTCTGCATATAACTTCTCAGAAGCCTCTCCATTGCATCAGTAAGAAACACCTGCATCAAAATAAATCTTTATTTATAAGATAGTCATTAGATCTTCATGCCATTTAAAAATTGTTACAATTGAAGTTATAGGTATGAAACAATTTATAAAATGGCTTTTTTAAAACCACTAAAATTTCCCTTTTCCCCAAAACTGCACCATCAAGCCACTGTTCTCCAGAGGAGACAATTTCCATTCATCACAAGGCCTTAACTCAGAATGCAGGATACAGTTGTGAAGCACTAATTCTGAGCCCTCATCGTGGGTTGTGGGCATAGCAGTAAAATTGCCTGGCTGATGAGTAGACCAGCCCAGCAGTTGAAATAGTGTGCATTCTTTTCCAGTCCTGGCAGCTGCTGTGTTTGCTTTCCGAGCAGTGAACCTGATGGAGGTGACATCACTGGCTGCAGCTGAAGTAAGGATAAGTTTCACTCAGATGGGATGGAAATAGTTCCTGAGAGATTGCCAGGCTCGGGCACTTTAGTATCAGATGCATAGGACACACATTACTCGCAGACTAATTTTTTAACTTGGGTAAAACTCATAAGTTTTGAGCTAAGTAATATTAAGTGTTCAGAATTCCTTAATTACTTGAAAACAATGTTCTTGTGAAGAAGTCATAAACAAGATTATTATGGGAAACCACTATAACCATTACAGGAAACAAGATACCTAGTAGTTTTAATAGAAACTATTGGGGCTTATGTTGCATTTTCTTATAATTGTTCATATGCTCATAGAACAAAGACAAACTAGTTGAAAGAATTAAAGAGCATGTGTTTGGATGATATAGTAAAGATACATGGGCTTTTTGTTTATTTTTAGTTGTGAGTTAATTATTTAAAGCTCGTTTCTTTTCAATAGTATATCTTACACCTGAAGCATGGTTCAATTAAATAGCGGCTTACAATATTACTCTATTTGTTATCTGTCATAGAAATGTACATTTTATCCTTAAAATAGCTGCCTACATTCTTTGTTTAAAGGGAAGAGGATGTTTATGCATCTTGCAACTGAGTAAACATTAGTTCCATCTTAAAGTGATTTCCTAAAGTCAGTTACTCCTTAGTATAACGGGACTAGGATTCATAATGTACGTTTATTTATAGAAGCAAGTTGAAATGTTAGACCTCTTATAAACTCATGCTACCTTGTATATTTGAAGAAGGCTCAAGACTAAAGTCCAGATTATTTTCTACTGCACATTTGAGTATTTTGCACATGTTCTAACATTAAGATGTTCAGAAAAGAGAAAGAAGGTTGTAGCTTCAGTACAGAGATTTGGGACCAATCTGAAGAACTTAGAGTGTGTTGATATCAGAATTACATTGTAAAGGTGTTTCTGTGTTTATTTCATAGGCTTCACTTTGCTGATCAGAATGCCGATATTAATCATTCCTTTTGTTTTTTGTTTCAGGCAGTTCTTGCTGACCTTTCTACTTTAAAAGTTATGCCTCTTCTTCAAATTTTTCTGTTTGCTACTGTCACCTGATCTTCTCCAAGGTCACTGACAACACATCTAGTTTTTCATTAGAAAGTAATCATGAACTATGCAAACTCTGCATAAAACCAAAATTAAACTTTGCATATAAGCCAATAAAGATCATGTTCCTCCTCAGTTAAACCTAAGTAGTTTTTCACTTTTTGAAACAATAACTCTGCACACCACGTATTGCACTGCATGCTGCTGATTTTCAAGAGAGAAGCAGTAGATATAACTTCTGCTAAATTGAGCATACATAGCATAGATAACCCTGGCTTGTAAAAGGCATGTAACAATATATGCAATAAGAACTAAAGATACTGTAATAAACTTGAATAGGTAATGTAGCCTCTGGGACAGTTCTCTTATGTCAGTTTGTAAATTTATCTCTAGATAATGAATCATTTTGTCTTATAAATTGCATTTCACTCAAAGCCAGGGGTGGGGTAGGATGTGGGAAGACTTGAAAAAGATAATGCTTTTAAGTAGGAATTCAAATGTACTTTGGTGTTTTTAACAACTTTTCTCTCATCAGAGATCTAGATCCCTCTCCATTTTATTTCTCTCTCTATTGGGGAAGGTCAAATACAGTTGTCTCCACCTGACAGTTTTATTCATCACTTTCTGAAAAAAGAAAATAGAAAGATCCCTTTAAATTTCTCAACCTTCCATCTCTTAGTTAGAAGACTTGACACTGCTGAGATCTGTTGCCAGATTCCATTACTTTGGAAGTTTACAAAGAGGACACCCAAGGACTCAATGAAGGGAATGAAAAATCAAAACCATATGCACTTTTTTTTTTTTTTTTGCGGTACGCGGGCCTCTCACTGTTGTGGCCTCTCCCGTTGTGGAGCACAGGCTCTGGACATGCAGGCTCAGCGGCCATGGCTCACGGGCCCAGCCGCTCCGCGGCATGTGGGATCTTCCGGGACCGGGGCACGAACCCGTGTCCCCTGCATCGGCAGGCGTACTCTCAACCACTGCGCCACCAGGAAAACCCCATATGCACTTTTACTGAAGTTTGGTTTAATAAGATTTACTTCGAGACCAGAAGTAGGTATTATACATTCATTCTAGAACTTAAGACATTATGCAAGGCATCAGTCTTATTTTGGTCCTTATTGTAAGTAGAGGGCCTTATTTTATATTACTTTTTAGAGACCTAACATTTCTATAATGCAGAATGATAGAATGTGGGGGAAAAAGTCCAAAAATCATTGTCTTTCAATTTTATACTCAAATTCAAGATGCTGATCACTTCAATAAAATTCTGAATCAATGGATTGATAGTCTTACTGAATGCTTAGAATTGTATTAAGTTTTATCAAAATCTAGTTCCGGAGTCTTTTATTTAGAGAGTATATTTTTAGGAAATGTATGAGGTTTAGCACAGGACTGCAAGTGTGGTGGAATTTTATATAACTACTAGTTATTAATTTGGAAATCTACGTAAATGCTTTTATTCATCAGGTACTTGTTGACTTATTGAGGACTAAATAATCATTTATTCAGTGATTGATTCTTAATAAACTCCATGTTATTGCTTTTGAAGGCGATACAATTATAATCATACGCTTTGCCATTCTGTGTATACAAATGCACATTCATCACAGGGATAAGCATATACCCATGATTGTTAGGAAGAGAGAGAGTTTTAAATGATTAAGGTCAAATGTGTACAGATACACCCACCTTTGGCTTTTTTCTTTAGGAGAATATTCATAAGCTTTTTTAAAAGTAGCAATGTAGTAATCTAGTGGGAAAAACATTAAACTGGAGGAGTTCTTGTCCTAGCTTGAAGTCCACAGATAATCTATTCTCTCTTATCTGTAATTTGGGTGGGGTATGCGGGGGAGACCACAGGCAGCATGAAAGTTTTGTATTTGCTCTGTTTACCTTACAGGATTGAGTAAGACCAAATGAGAAAATACATTTGAAAGTGATTTTTTTTTTTTTAACTACAAAGCACCAAGCAAATATAAGAGGTTGTCAGTAATTAATTTTGTTTTGTTTTATTTATTTATTTTTTGGCTGTGTTTGGTCTTCGTGGCTGAGCGCAGGCTTTCTCTAGTTGCGGTGAGCCGGGGCTGGTCTTTGTTGCGGTGCGCGGGCTTCTCATTGCGGTGGCTTCTCCTGTTGCATAGCACGGGCTCTAGGTACTCAGGCTTCAGTAGTTGTGGCTCGCGGGCTCTAGAGTGCAGGCTCAGTAGTTGTGGTGCCCAGGTTTAGTTGCCCTGCGGCACGTGGGATCTTCCTGGACCAGAGCTCGAACCCATGTCCCCTGCAATGGCAGGTGAATTCGTAACCACTGTGCCACCAGGGAGGTCCCAGTAATTAATTTTAAATATGACATTTTAAGATCAAGTGGTAGAAGATAATATGTGAAGAATGCCCAACTTCATTAGCATTTGTATGACTTTGATAATTTGAGACTTCTTCTATATCTATAAGAAAATGAATGGACCATGGCATAGCAGATCCTTTCATTTGGAACAGGTGGCTCTAGCCAGTCATTCTGAATCTGAACCCCAAAGCCAAACCTAGGAGGCTGCCACACATTTCGCTGCTGTCACAAGCCCTTCTCAGCCATGTGCTGCTCTTGGCTGCTTGTTAAAATACTGCACGGAGGGCAGTCAGGCTGCCTTGCCCACTCCGTCTCTAGCTACACTCACACTACTTCCCTTGACCTCCTCCCTCCAGCATTCTCCCCCGCCATCTCCTACCAACCCCTGGCAGCCCCTCACATAGGCTCTGCCAGTGATCACAGTGATCTGAATGACCAGTGATAATTACATCATTATTCTGCCTGTGGCATTCTTACTGGTGGTGAAATAGCCTAATAGACGAATGGCATTTGGCTCTTCTGGATTTCAGTTCACTCACTATGTATGTATGTAATATGTATGATCTTATATCGTGGAAGAGTTTATTGAACAATCTTTTAGATCAGAATGTTGTGGTAATGCAGCCTTCTGGCTAATTGAAATTTTCAGTGTATCTTAAATGCATAGCACCCACTTACACTCTGCATGTACTCTCTCTGCCTATTTCATAGAGAAAATAGAGACCATTAGGCTTGAACTCCCTCAGGCTTCCACTTTACAACTTAGCTTTATTCCCCTATACTTATCTTCTTCCTTGTCTCAGGAAGTATCTAATCTGTTCTTGCAGCTCTCTAAATACAGGTTCGATTGTGTCACTTACATGCTTAAAAATTAAACGATACCACATTGCTTAAAGGATAAAGTCCAGGCTCTGTAGCAGAGTGGGGGAAATTCACCGCAGCTTGATCTTTCCATTCCTGTTCTCTCACACTGATCTGTTATCCTGTGCTTCATCCTCACCAAATTACGTGCTCATCCTCAACCAGCTATGGCCTTGTACTTTATCTCTGCCAGAAGGACCTCCATTTTTCAAGGCCCCACTAAAAAACTCTCCTCTGCTGTAAGATACCCTGGAGCCTATAAATTAGAATTAATTACACCCTTCTCTTTGTTCTCATAAAACTGCTCATTTACTAATATGGTGCTTAGAATATTGAGTGATAGTTTTTTGTGTATGTATTGAGTCTCAAATCACTTTGTTCTGAAGTCAATTTTCATTGACTAGTCCTAGGAATGGAAGATGAAAGAAGAAATTTGTCCATGTGTGTTTGTACCCCCGGACTTGTTCTAAAAATTGTTGGAATCTGTTCAACAATTATGTTTTTCTTAAAATATAATTCCTCCTAAGTATCTATAGTCTCCCTTCTTCTGCAAAGGCTCTAATTTTTATTTGGAGATCTACCCCTCCTCCATGCGCTTCAGATGAGGCTGACTCCCACCTCCAGGACCTCTGGGTCCTGGCCAAGCCATTATTATGTACCATCTCTCTGGCCACAAGGATTGCTTCAGGATCCGTGCAAAACCTAAGACTGTGCAAAATCAATGAAACTTGATTATGAGGCTTTGGTTTAATCTTTCAGGGAAGCTGGATATGAACAAGAGAGGATATAGGGTCTGGAGCTGCTGCAGCCTAGGAATGCAAAAAGCGAGAAGCTGCTCTGTTGACCTTGTTAATTCCCAGGTCACACTCCATCAGTCTACCCCTGGACTGTTTTGTTACATGAGCCAAAAGATTCTCTTTGCAATAGAAAGGATCCTAACTGAAGGTATAGTTATTTTACCTTTTAGGTGATCCTCTACAACATGGATATCATCTTTGGTACAGGACCCCTATCTACACACTGGTTAAACTAGCAGAATCTTCTAAAACTTTTTTTCAGTCAAGACACAAGGATGAAATCTGTGTTCCAGATGTACTAAGCAACCTGCAGTACCTTAAACACATGGTATGTCTCTCTCTCCTTTGGCCCTTTGCCCATACAGCACCCTCTGCTTGGAATGCCTTCTCTTCCCTCTCTACCTAACTCTTACTTGTACCTCAAAACCCAGCTCAGGTGTTGCATCATCAGGGAAGATCGCTTCTCTTATGAATTCTCCTCATACCCTAAATATACGTAAGCAGTATCCTAATGATACGTTAGCTTGTCTTTGTCTTCCACTAGACAGATTCCTAAAGGGCAAAAATGGTTTCTTTTTCAGCTTTATATCTCTAGAACCTGGCATATTTCTTGCCCATAGTGAGCTTTAGTCAGTGCTTATTGAATGAACAAATGAAGTCATCTAATTGACTCATTTTACTGATGAGGAAAATTGCTCAGTTCAGAGTAATATCTCCACTTGTTCAGTGTCACTCAGCTATTTTACCTAAGTTATTTGTGGAGTTGCCTGTGGAAGTCCAAAAAGTAGGAATATTTTGAGAGAAAAAAATGTACACGCTTCAGCTCACTCAAGTTATTTCATTTAAGTCAACTTTATTAAGATATAATTTATGTACAATAAAATGTATTCATTTAAATTACACAGTTCTATAAAGTTAGACAAATGTATAAATCCACATCACCACCACCACAGTCAAGGTGCAGAACATTTCCATCACCTGAAGCAATTCTCTTTATGCTCCTTCCCATTTGATCTTCCATATGCACATTCATTCCAAACTACCATTGATCTGCTCTGTTCCTAAATATTACATTGGTCTTTTCTGGAGTTTCATGTAAATGGAATCATACATATGTACTCTTTTGTGTCTGACTTCTTTTGCTCAGCATGATGTTCTGAGATTCATCCATGTTGTGTGATTAGTTTTCCATTCCTTTTTATGACTTAGTAGTATTTCATACAGTTTGTTTGCCCATCATTGTTAACGGCCATCCATGTTGTTCTCATGTTTTCGTGTATTATGGATACAGCTACTATAAACATATGTGTGCAGGCCTTCATGTAGAATATCTTCATTTCTTTAGGGTAAATACCTAGGAGTAGAATTGCTGAGTCATATGTAAGCATAAATTTAACTTTCTAAGAAACCTCCGAACTCTTTTCTGAAGTGGTTCTACCAGTTTACATTC